AAGACCGGCTTATTCATTCACAGTATTGCAAACTATACCATGTGCTAACTCACCACCAGAGATTCTTCCTCAGCCACCTGGGATTTCTTCCCTCTACTCCAATCCAAACCCACTTAATCCACATCACTAAAGGTCTGCTTCAAGTCCCATCTCCTGTATAGACCTTCTTTGTTACTTCAGCCTCTTCTCCTTCCTCACAATGTCTACATTACTTTCCATGCCCCTTTATTAGCTCTTTAGTATAAGCAGCTTTGTGATAAACTAAGGCACTCTCAGTGATTAATCCTATGCTTTAAATAGTCTATCAGAGTAAACCTCACGGGGGGAACCGTATCCCACAAGGTGCCTAAGACAAGGCATGCACAAAGTATATGTTCATTTTTTGTAAAAAATATATTAATGGGCTTTTACCACATTGAGTCTAACTGGAATGAAGGAAATGTTCAACATAAAAGAGAAAACATAATCCTCATTTAAAACGAGGAAGTGTTCCCGAACAGTTAACAAAAACTCTTGACAAATGGGAACATTCCAGGCAAAAATGAGTAGGGTTAAGAACTTTTTCTTATATTCTTATCTCAGCTTTTTCCTTTTCCTATCACATTTAAATTTCAGTTTATAAAATAAAGAGGAAATTAAGAAAAAATGCAACTAACTGCACGTCTCCATAGACTATTGTTGTTAGGTGCCATCCAGGTGATTTTCGACTCATAGTGACCCCATGTGACAGAGTAGAACTGCTTCATAAGGTTTCCTAGGCTATAATCTTTATGGAAGTAGATTGCCAGGTATTTTCTCTCACAGAGCCACTGGATGGGTTCAAATCGACAACCTTTCGAGCGCTTACTATTGCGCCACCAGGGCTCCTTTTGACTGTTAAGAACCAAAACCAAACCCATTGCCACTGAGTCAATTCTGACTCATAGCAACCCTATAGGACAGAGTAGAACTGCCCCATAGAGTTTCCAAGGCTGTAAATCTTTACAGAAACAGACTGCCACATCTTTTTCCCAGAGTGGCGAGTGGGTTTGAACCGCCAACCTTCTGGTTAGCAGGCTTAACCACTGCACCATCGGGGTTTCCTTTTAGACTCGATTCAAACCCACTGCCGTTGAGTCAATTCCAACTCATAGTTCATATAAAAGTCGTAATTAAAGCTGGGCCACCCTCCCTCCTACTTACTCCCAGAGCACCTGGTACTTCCATTTTCAAAACATGCATCATGTCTTCCTTGATAGGTTGTAAGCTCCATGAGGATAGCAATCACGTCTGTCTTATTCACTGCTGTACCTTTAGAATTTAGTGTAAATAATGAGCTCTGGTGGCCAGTGGTTCGACCCACCAGCTGCTGCACGGGACAAAGATGTGGCAGACTGCTTCTGTAAAGATTAGATAGCCTTGGAAACCCTGTGGGACAGTTCTTCTCTGTCCTATAGGTTTGTAATGAGTCAGAATCGACTCAGTGGCAAAGAGTTTGATTTTATAGTGCTGAATATATATGTATCGAATAAAAACAGAAATTAATGATATAGGGCTGCAGTTCTCAAAATTTTTGTCTCAGGACCCTTTACATTCTTAAAATTATTGAGAACTCCCAAAGAGTTTTGGTTTATGTTGGCTATATTTACCATATTAAAAATAAAAGTTAGACTTAAAAAGTTATTTAAAATATTTGTCATTTAAAAACAATACGCCCATCACATATTTACATTAATAATATTTTTTAATAAAAAAATTTTCAGAGTAAAAAGTTTAGTAGGAGTAGCATTGTTTTACATTTTTGCAAATTCCCTTATCGTATGTATTAATAGAAGATAACTAGATTTTCATATCTGCATCTGCATTTAATCTGTTGTGATATATTATTTCTGGTGGAAGTATAAGAAAATAAGTCCTCACACAGATGTGTGGGTGGAAAAGGGGGGAGTATTTTAATAGCTGGTTCAGATTGTGGATATTCTTCTTTGATACTACACTAACATGTAAAAAGTTCTTCTTTTCCTTAAAGGTTACCCTATGAATTTTTTTGTCCTCTATTAAAATTATTAAGTCTGTATTGCACTTTGAATGCATCTTTTACCCATGCATGATTTTGTAACATCATGGATGGAAAATGGAGCCCTGGTGCCACACTGGTTAAGAGCTCAGCTGCTAACCAGAAGTCTGATTCCACCAGCTGCTCCTTGGAAACCCTATGGGACAGCTCTGCTTTGCCCTATAGGGTCGCTATGAGTCGGAATTGACTCGACAGCAACAGGTAATGTATGTATAAGTTAACAGAGCTTCCAAATGATGATGCATTTCATTATACAGTCAGTATACCAAAAGAAATCACATTTGTTAATATCACCACAGGTCTCACCAACAAATGTGAAGTATTGGGAAGCTGGAAGTTCATACTGGTAGATACAAGTTTTCCAGAATTCTATTTTTCATCTGAAACCTCAAAATTTATCATTGGCAACAAATACAATAAGTTCTCTTTAAAGTGACAAGTTCGCTTCATTCATTTACAATAAAACATCTGCCAAATAGTTTGAATAACCATAGTTTGTCAGCTGTTCAAGTAAAAATGGTGTTCCACAAAAAAAAAGCAGCTAAATCCGCTCACAATTCACATAAATACATTTCCTCAAGACAAACCATAGTAAGTAATTCAGTACAGTCGTCCGTCTGTATCCGCGGGGGGATTGGTTGCAGGACCCCCCCCAATACCAAAATCTCTGGATGCTCGAGTCCCTTATATAAAATGTCATAGTATTTGCATATAACCTATGCACATCCTCCCGTCTTATACTTTAAATCATCTCTAGATTACTTATAATAGTTAATGTAAATGCTATGTAAATAGTTGTTATGCTCTATTGTTTAGGGAATAATGACAAGAAAAAAAGTCTGTACATGTTCAGCACAGACACAACTAGCAACCATCGTAGGCCTAACTACATAGTACATGTCAGCAACAATGTTTTTTTTTTTTTTTTTCCAAATTATTTTCTATCCACAGTTGAATCCGTGGATGCAGAACCTGCGGCTACGGAGGTCCAACTTGTATGTAGAATGTACGTATACGTCTCATTTCATCACATAGAATTCTAAAAGGACCTGTTTTCAATAACTGAAATTTAACAAAATTAATTTTTGTTGCTTCATCTAGGACATCTTAAGTACAACTGGCATATACATACATATACATTTACTGTGCATGAATCTGGTGAAGAATGCAATGAGGTCAGTGTGGTACCATTCCCACAGGTCAGCAGTTTTACCACCACTGCTTCTGCACAATCAGTGCAAATGCCAACACGGTGAAAAAGACACCTTGGAAGTATGAAAATGGATTTCATCCTGCAGATCCACCAACACGGTGGAAAAGACACCTTGGAAATATGAAAATGGATTTGATCCTGCAGATCCCCTAAATAAGTCTACAGAACCCCCAGGGGTCTGCAGACCACACAGGGCACACTATAGCATTTCCAAATTCATTTAACCATGGGCCACTATTTGTTAAGTTCTAGTCTAATAAATTTCAGGACATCATTCACGTAGACTGGCCGGGAGCATTGTAGGGCCCTTTCTTTGCATTTCCTGGTATTCCTGTCTTAAAACTGGCCACATTCTCTTTATGGTGCTTTGGTTTTACTGACCATTGTTTGTATCTGTTCTTTCCCTATCTTTAAAAAAGGATCTTTTACATGATACATATTTATTTTTAGAAAGTTTAGTTTTTACATACTATCAAAAGAAAAATCTCCATTAATGCCACTATGCAGAGTTAATAATCTGATGTATTAACTTCCACCACTTTTTCTATTCATAGATACACGTTACGTATTCAGTTACTTAAAAATGAACAAAAATGGGGCAAGAGTATAAACACTGTTTTATAATCTGCTTTATTTAAATTACTGTGTTGAATCCTTTTCATGTCAATGACATTTGTGCTGGTTGACTGCCTGTTTGTTTTCAGATCCATTACTAACCATTCCCCTGCTCTGCTCTACTGCAGACTACGCAACCTGGGCTCCTGATTTTCTGGCTTCAGGGTGTGTCTGGCCCCATGGGGAGGCACCGGCAGATTGGACAGCAGGAGGAGGGGAGAAGCCAGGATATTTCCCCACTTCCCTCTGCTGCTTCTGGTGTCCCCAGCAAGTGAGCTTCTGGGCTCTGGCAACCAGGCTCTTGCCATGAGCCCTGCAGTCCTGTGGGCGGCAGGGGTTTTCAGCTATCCCCAATCTCTGGATTGCCTCGCCATCCGTTTACATCTCAACCCTTCCATCATCTGTCATCAATTTCCTGTATTAAATTTTGTTTGGTTAAAATACCTAGAGTCGTCTGTGTTTTCCTAAGTGGACCTTGAGTTACACAACATTCTTAAAATTTTTAAACCTGTGTAACATTTCACTGTATTGCTATACTGTAACTTATTTAAGCAATCCTATATTGTAGAACAATGAGTTGACTCCAGTGTTTCCGGAGGTAACCAAAACCGAAACCCGTAGTAACAATTCACATTTCCACCAGTAAAATAAGAGAAGGGCCAACTCCTGGCACCCTGGTCAACATGCGGTATTATTTGTTTTTTTTAAAAATCTTTTGTTGATTTGACAAGCAAAAAAAGAAAGTTATCTTATTGATGGGCTTTAAATTTGTGTTTCACTGGGCTCCATTAGATGGAAAGTGCTTTCATGTTCAAAGGCCATGTGTATTTTTTCAGAGAATTGCCTGTCCATGTCCCCTTCTCATTCTTTAATGATTGTTGTTTTACCTTTTCAAAAATTTGATTTTAAGTGCCTTTTAAGAGTCTGAATTTTTGTCTATCATATACATCACAATCATTTTTTCCAGGTTATTATTTACAAATTTTGACTTACAACAGCTTTTCATTTGTATATAATCAAATCTGGGGCCATTCCTTGAAAGGATTCCTCAACAGGATTTCAGCCCATCCCAGTATTATGGAAAAATTAATCTCATTTCTTTCTAGAACTTCTTGGTTTTGACCTCTTCCTCTCTTCTTAACTTTTAAATCTTTAATGCATCTGGAATTTATTTAGTTGTATGATATGAGAAAGGGATCTTTCTTAATGTTTTTTTCCAACTGGTTTACAAGTTCCAACACTATGAAATACCCACGCTTTCCCCACTAATATAAGATGCTACCTTTATCATACAATAAACTCAGTCTATTTATGGACTTTTTAACTTTGCTCATCAATTTTTTTTTAGTGGTTTTCAATGCTTTGTAGCCAATTCACTGATTTCTGTCTGAAAATAACTCAATAATAAAGAATTGACGGGAACATACAGAAATTGTTTATTATTTATTTTTAGAGAAGAATGAGCTTTATTTAACACATGAATTTATATTATAAAACCATAGCTTATTAACTTTAAAGGAATCCAGTAATTACACTGCACTTACCTTAACTGCATTTACAAGTTATTTAAATTAGTACATATTTACTAGCTATATCATTAAAGTGTTACAAGCAATGTAAAGGGGTAGATTATGCATATTTGTTTTAGCAATGAAGATATAATCATTTTACTTCTACCAAAAATATTTCAAAATCTATTTCCTAGAAAACTAGAAAAATATAGTACAAATATATGCGTATAAATACATATCACTACACACAAATCAAATAACCTACAATTTAGTATTACGCTAAAAAAGCATGTACATGAAAGCAAAAATAGCAGTAAAAACCATGAACATCTCCCAACAATGATGAAAGACTCATAAGAAAATGTCTCAGTATTGACTGTAGGATAGTTTCTGCCAGTTGTCCGACAGATGATCTGAATGTGAGAATCAGGTTTCCCAGTAGAGTCCCAAACAAACTCTACAGAAACACTGATTTTCATTCGTGCGTATTTTAGCGATCTTCAATAACTCATTTAGTGGGTTCTTATTAAGTAATGCTTGTTGTTGTGTGCCACCAAGTCAATTCCGACTCACAGCGACCCTGAGTAATGCTTACTGGTTCAAAAAATATGAATCTACAGAGCTGTGCATTGTTTACTAATGGGAACTAAAGAAAGGGCTTTCATTTTTGGATCAGCTTGTGTCCCATCAGAGGGCAATGCATTAATAGCCTCTGTGCTCCCTGATCATGGCTACCTTCCTGGCTCAAGCAATATATACATATGCTTTCTGTCCTCTTGTTTTGTATTAAGTGATGTTTCTAATTGGTACTATAAGACACAGAGAATGAGGATACTCATTTTTCTGGTTTATACTGATTCTCTCTTTGAATGCAGAGAAAAAGGATGAGTTTTTTCAGGTTTCCTCTGTTTCATGTACCAAAGCTTGAGTGCTTTTTTCTTAAACTCTTTCAGGTATTAGCAATGCTACCTAGATAATGTCTGCAGGGTTGTTTTCAGTTTTCATCTTTTTTACCTCTTCAAAAGTATTTTAGTGAGAGGTTACTTTGAATAGGAGGGCTCATGGTTTTTTTAACACAACACTTTGCTAATATGTGCAATTCACAGTCTCAGTAGTTGTCTACAGAGTCATACCCACACAGAGCTATCAAACTATCTTTAGCACACATATAGACATTAATGCTTACATAAAAAACAGAATTCTCTTTCCACGGATGCACTTTTACTCGTGCCATAGGTACATTCCTTAAAAGTAGCAAGTAAATAATATTTCTGCAAGTCAAATTGTATATTCCTAGTAAACAATGGGGAGCCCTGGTGGCACAGCAGTTAAAAGCTCTGCTGCTACCCAAAAGGTCAACAGTTCGAATCCACCAGCTGCGCCTTGGAAACCTATGGGGCAGTTCTACTCTGTCCTATAGGGTCGCTATGAGTCAGAATCGACTCGATGACAACGAGTTTATTAAACAACGGCTCCAATGGGGGTTGTAGGAGGTTATTCAAATCATCTGGGATACTCTTTTAAAATATATATCCTGATCAACTCCTTACCCGAGTGGTGAATATCAGATCTGAGAGGGTGTAGATGTATATCCAAAAAAGCTCTCCCAGAAAATTCTGATCCCATCTCCACCCCCGACACTAAGTACTACTGACTTTAATGAGTTTCAGCGGACTGAAAAGGAAGCTCATAAAGCTCCTGGAAAGCATGCCCCTCCCTCCCTCTCATCCAAACTCCCTGCTTCGCAAAACGGATGACCAAGACTTGTCCCACGAAGGAAGCGATGGGAATTGATTATCCACCTCCCATCAGGATTAATCTCATCATGCCTATATCCCTGTTTATGTCAGTCACTGCATACGCTAACAGAAACCTAGCTGTCTTCTGAGGATACTGCCTCCCTTGCAAACCTTTCAAGGGGTGGATATTTTTGATCCCAAAATTCGCATATTCTGGCTCTAGAGGTGGGGTAGGTATTCCTCTGCTCCTCATTTGTAACATCAAGCTGCTGCTTTCTTCTTTCCTACCCTAGGTCCTTTGAGCTCATGCCATCAGACCCCAGTATACCCCCTGCTTCCTTCCTTACTGCAGTCATTCTCAGTCCCCATCTCTCCACTACCACTCCTGTCATTTTTTATGGTGATCTCAATCAAATAGACGATCCATCGAAAACCCTGGGCTCTAAGTTTTGACCTGCTCACCTCCAGTTATCTTTAACACCACTTCAAACACCTACTCCCACGGTCACCTGCTAGATCTTGTCATTACCAATAATCTGAACTTCCCTCAAATCTCAATTTCAAGCATTCCATCTCCTGTCCACCAGTTCTTATCTTTCCAGCTCACTACTGGTATCCATACTAATGGTTTTTACCTCAATAGGATCTCCAAAACTACTAACTCTACCACCTTTTCTCTATCCATCACCCATCTGCGTCCCTTTAACTTAAATTACAGTTACTTCTTTATATACACCCTCAATTCCCTTTTTCCTCTATCCTTTGTACCACCTGGCAAAACCTCAATCCTGGTTAAATCCAACTGTCCACCAAGCAGCTGGATGTGGCTAGGGGGAAAAGGTACAGCTCTGCTAACTAGTTTTACTTTAAGTTCGTGACTCATATCCAAAGACAGGCCCCTAGTGCTGTCTGCCAATCCTACTACATGCCACTAGTCAGTTCAGTATCTCATTCTTCTAGACTATTTCATGAAACCTCTAACACTCCTTCCCCTTACTTAGCTGATAATCCCACTATTTCTTTCAAAGAGCAATTAGAAAATAATGTCTACAATCACCCACCATAAAGTTGCCCTGCTTGGACGACTGGTTCTTCTTTCAGATATTCACCAGGCTTCCGGTCTCTGCTCAACTGTCACCTTTTCAGAAAGGCCTTTGCTGGCTCCTACGAAAAGCAGCAATCTTTTCCCTTGCCCAGCTTAATTTTTTTCTTTTTCATCATACCTGACATATTAATATAAATTTATTGTCTCTCCCCAGCACTCCATACCCTCACTCTAGAGTATAAGCTCCACTAAAGCAAGGATTTTGTCTGTTTTGTGCCTAGAGCAATATCTGGCAAATATTAAGTGCTTATAAATATTTACTGAATGAATGAGAAAATACCCAAAGACAAAAGATATTTGTCTTTCTAAAAGCAGAAATACTTTTCATTGTAAAATTACAGTGTTCAGCTGTCCTTAAAGGACTGCAGCTTCTCCTAACGTTCAATGCAATTCTCCCTTGCTGGGGGCAGCACTGGACGGGGCCAAGTACAGTCCTGAAAAGGGGGTGGCAGAGGGAGTAGGTGGTGGGCGGGGAGAACATTTGGCTTTTAGTATCAGCTCTGCTACTAACTAGTAATGTCATTTAGGGTGAGTCACCTAACGTCTCATTTCCATCAGAGAAGGTGAGAATACTTTTATTTTTATCTAAAGGAAAGAGACCCTCCAAAGCACAAATCCAGTGAGAATCACTCACCCCACATTCCAATGACCTTTTTCCTTTCACGGTTCACTGACGGGACTTACACAGTGTACAGAATAAAGCAAGAGTTTTCGTAATAAATAAGCTATTAGTAAATGAGATTCCATGGTCAGAATAAAACCACTCTCAAAATTCAAGACGGTATTCTTAAAGTCAATTAAATGTGTTAGTCACATACATTAGGAAAATTTTCTTATTCATAACTCAGTGTGCAGGAAAAAAAAGCCTAATATAAATGGATTACATGTCTTTACCTAATATATAGGATTATACGTAGGTAAATCAGTTATCAACTTTATTTTGAAAGTTGCTACTTGTTTTTTGAATTCAAACAGAATAATGCTTGGTAATGTCCACAAACTAATGAAAACATATTGATTCACACATATCACGATGCGATTGTATATGAGAACGAATGTGTAATTGAGAATGAATGCAATCTCATTCCTATCCCCAAACAGTAAATTCAATAGATCCTACTGGAAAAAAAATATACCACCAAACCCAACAAAAAAAGCAAACCCATATTGTCAAGCAAAATATTTTTAATTAGTAGGCTGATCATAAATAAATCCACGTAAAAGATTTAACAGAATTACAAAGAGTTTTGTGTTTCTTTTGTTGACTCAATTCATAATACGCATGAGTCAACCTCATTCTCTGTGACAAAAAGTTGTCATCCAACGATGCAGCACAGTTTAAGCAATTCATATTCTGTAGTTACATTTTTACATTTTCTTTACAAATGTAACATTTATGTACATTATATATATATATATATATTCTATAATTCAGGTACTGAAACGCTATTGTTTTTACAGGGAAAATGTTGAATTCATTTAATGAATACGAATCATTCCTTGTTAAAAAGTAATCCATAAAAACAAGTAACACAGTACCGCTGCCTTTTGGCATCTCTTTGTTCAGAGTTCAAGTCCAGAAATGTCATATTATACGAAAAAAGAATTTATCTAATTGTACATCATGACCTATCATTCCACATAGCTACATAAATTTGCCGGCTTGCAATAAACAGAGCACTGCACTGCTGCACTACTGGAAATGTGCATAAACCAATTCAAAACACACCTGGTGAAAGGCATCATCATTACCACTAATTTAGGCTGAAGAAAATCTGTCAAGTTCTTTCTTCCCCTTTACCTTTTGGCCAAAGCCTCAGACAGGGTGCTATGCATTGTGTCTTGATAACAACAAATGCCCTCCTTTCAAATTTCCTATGTGCTTCTCTGACAGATTACGCTTTACCTAAGTTATAGATCTTTCTCTTCTTATTCAATTTTATTCCACTTCACTTACAAATCTGCTGCTGAATGTGAAGCAAAAATTCATAGTAAGAGAATGCCGCTTCTGTCCGGTCTTCAATCAAATGCTGAAAAAATTCCGTGGTGGCAGGACTCTCATCTCTGAAAAAGAGAAAAGGGTATTTATCTAAAAATGCATATTATTAAAAAGCTAAGCATAATTATACTACATTTAAACAGTACTAATACAAAGGGACTTTGGAAAAATGGAACACTGAGGCTATTAATTAACAGCATTCTACCATCAGGATGTATTTTGATAAAATGATTTAAAGTTTGAAGACAAGCAATTTTCACACAGACTGCAGAAGAAAAGACAATTTCATAATGAAACTACAGAAGTACTTACTTTACCACGTGAAGAAGTGGGCTTAATGGTCTACTGTCTCTCAGCCAAGTTATAAAGGATCTAGCTCTTTCAGATGGAAGTGTATCTAGCTCTGGAAGATGTGTCTGGTCAAAGAAATATAATTAGAAAATTACTACTGTTCTTATAGGCTTTAGAAGTATTAGAAATAAATTATGATTCCTACTACTAACAACCAACTGCCAGCATTCTATTTCCAGCCCCAACAGTAGCAACCAAACAAATAGTAAATTGTTGCCAAATCCATTTATATTCTTCTGGATACAGAAAAACACAATCATTAGTAGGTCACTGGTATCGTGTCGTTATGTTTCTCTGAAAGAAAATATTAAAATGAAGGGGGCTACTTCTAAGTTCCAAATCCACTTAACCATGTTCTAATTTTTTTTAACCTATTATACCCTAACCAAAAGGTTGGCAGTTTAAAAGAATTTAGTTTGTTTAAAAAACAAAAAACCCGTTGCCACTGAGTTGTTTCCAACTCACAGCGACCCTACAGGACAGAGTAGGACTGCTTCATAGGGTTTCCAAAGAGCAGCTGGTGGATTCGAACTGCCGACCTTTTGATTTGCAGCCATAGCTCTTAACCACTGTGCCACCAGGGCGCCTGTGTTTAAAAGGTGGTATGTCTTAGTCATCTAGTGCTGCCATAACAGAAATACCACAAGTAGACGGTTTTAACAAAGTTTATTTCCTTACAGTAGAGTAGGCTAAAAATCCAAATTCAAGGTGTCAGCTCCAGGGGAAGGCTTTCTCTCTCTTGGCCTTCTCATCAATGTTCCCCCGGACTAGGAGCTTCTCTGCGCAGGGACCCCGGTCCAAAGGACATGCTCTGCTCCCGGCACTGCTTTCTTGATGGTATGAGGTTCCCCCGTCTCACTGCTCACTTCTGTCTTTTATATCTCAAGACGTTGCCTCAGGACACAATCCAGACTTGTAGACCAGGTCCTGCCTTACTAACACAACTGCCACCCATCCTCCCTCATTAACATCATAGAGGCAGGTTTACAATATACAGGAAAACCACACAGTACCAGGAATCATGGCCCAGCCAAACTGATACACACATTTTTGGGGGGACATAATTCAAACCATGACATGGTATTTAAGTGCTTTTGAGGTATAAAGCTCCATTTGCTTGTTCTCTGCTGACTAATGGGTAAAGTTCAACTTTGCAATAACTAACATAAGTGAACAAATTTCCTAATTCTAAATGAACGCAACACTATTTGGAAATAGCTGTCTCAGTAGTCATATGTGATGGTGACAAGTAAAGCAAAAATGCAAGAAATAGGAAAAGCAGCGGTGCAATTTCTGTCTCCCAAAGCACTATTATTTCAGGGAAGGTACTAGTGCTATTAACATAATACACGCTGACTCTGGTAATTCAGCTAAGATTAAACTTAGACACATCTGCGTTATATCTCAAAATCTGCAGCCCTCTCTCTTAATTCAGAAAATGGTTATCAACGTGATAGAGGACGAAGTCGAGTTCACGGTCACAGTTCTTCAAATTAGGTGACCATCGGGTCTTTTTCCTTATGAGAAGGAAAGGCTTGGTTAAGCTTGGACAATAACTTAAAAAAGCTGAGTACTACCAGTCTTTTCTCTCTAAGTCTGCTCTCTGCATTTTTCGTATACACTGTTGCTCTGGTTTAAGAGGGTCACTACTAAGGAAATACAGGGTATTAAAAACTAAATGCAAAGTTATTTTAAAAGACTTAAAAGTCTATTCTTTTACCAAAACAACAACAGGAAGATTTTTTTTTTTTCCTATTCAAAGCCAATTTAGCAGTAAATTAAATGATGCAAAGCATACAGTATGTAATCAAATTTAAATAGACAAGTTTGGGTCAACAATATTTGTAATTCATGCTCAATGTTAAAAAAGTAAAAATTCAGAAGTACACAATGTGAAAAGTTCTTAAACTACCCTATGCCTCATTTCCATTTTGATGTGAATGTTTTCAGATATTTTCTAAGTGTGCACAGCTGTTGCTGGCAGCCAGCGAGTTGATTCCAACCCATGGCCATCCCGTGTGTGCAGAGTAGAACTGCTCCATAGGGTTTTCAAGCTGTGACCTTTCAAAAGCAGACTGCCAGGCCTGTCTTCCGAGGCACCTCTGGATGGGTTCAAATTGCCAACCTTTTGGCTAGCAGTCGAGTGTTTAACCGTTTACACCACTCAGGAATACATTTTTTGAAAATACAAATGTGATCATACTATGTATATTTCTCTTCCGGCTTTATTCTTTTTAATAACTTATTTAATGCTGCAAGCTTTTGCATGTATACATAGACAAACTTCTATGAATATATTTATGGCATATATTCTTGGAAGTAGGAAAATTTACTGTGTCATAGAGTATGTGGTTTTAATTTTGACAGACACTGTCAAACTGCTTTCCAAAAAGGTTGTACTCATAATAACGTACACTTCAATCAATAGTGTTTGAAAGTACCTGTTGCCATGCACCTTCTGCATTATCATCAAACTTTAAAATCTATCAGCTTGGTAGATGAAAAACTATACTTTGCTGTTATTCTATTTTGTTTTCCTTAATTATGAGTGATGCTAAACATCATTTCATTATGGCTACTATTATATTTTCCCTCCATGAATTACTGATTCAAATCCTTTGTCCATTTTCTTTTTTTTGCGGGGTGGGGGAGGGTGTCTGTTTCTTAGGAGTCCTTGAATGGTACAAATGATTCAGGTGCTAACCGAAAAGAAGGCCACCCAGAGACGCCTGGGAAGAAAGGCCTGGTGATATACACTTCCAGAAAATCAGCCATTGAAAACTCTGTGGAGCATGGTTCTACTCTGACACACATGGGGTCACCATGAATTGGAATCGACTCCATGGCAACTGTTTTTTTTTTTTTTTTAATCTT